TGGGGTTCAGGTTTCTCCTCTCCTAGAGAGCTGAGGGTTCTTTTCATCAGGTCAATAGTTTTCTCTAGGATCCAGTTTGAGTGCTGTGCATAATTGAGGAAGTGAAAGCCATAAGCCCGCAGGCATATCCCCCCTCCCCCTTGGCAGTATGGCAGAATCCAGGGGAAGGTGAGATTTGGTTTTAGATCAGAGGAGATAGATATGAAATATAAATGGATTCTGACAATAGGATATACTTGAACAGATAAGATGCTTATTTTGAATATACAGAGGTAGTTACAAGTTGAGATAAAGAAAACTTTGGTCAAGTAAAACTTAGAAACATAAATACCAACAATTAAATTTGAATATTGATTTGTGCATAAAGGTCTTCTAAAGATGACTAAGATACATATAAGCTAAAACTCTATTGATGAAAGTAACGAATATGTTTTTACGTCTTAAGATAGAATATACTTAAATATGTATTTTGAATATAAGATGTTGTTATGAGTTGAGACAAAGGAAATTTTGGTCATGTAAATCTCAGAAGTAGAAATATTAACAGTTAAATTGGAATGTTGATTTGGGCATAAAGATCATGTAAAGGTGATTAAGATATATATGAGTTAAAACTTTATTGATGGAAGTAATAAATATACCTTTGTATAGCAGTAAGGAAAAAAAATATTAGTTTTGAATATGAGATAGTAGATACAAAGAGGAAGAGAGAGGAAGCATTAAATGAGGCAATAAAAGAAATTTTGCTTATTAAATTTAAGATTTTAAGATACTTGAGAATTATTAGAAAATAAAAATATTATATAGTATTATTAATTTGTAGATGTAGATGGTGAGAACTTATATAGATAAGATGGGTACCCTGAACACCAGACTTTGGGAGTAATTGTGATAAAGGAACTGGGATCATTCAAAACTAGGAAATAATAAATATTAAACATTAAGTTTAAAGATCAATGGAAAACTAAAACTGAAAAAAATTATTAGGTCATTGATTGTCTAAAAGATTGAATTTTAGAACAATTAAGATATACATAAACTAAAAACTATTGATAAATGATAGAAAGTTATTTTTTATTTGATCGATAGAATAAGAATTGTATTAGTTTAAACATGAGACAGTATATACTAAGGGGGAAAGAGAGGGAATGGTTATTGTGATAGTTGGAGATTTGTACTAATTATATCTATATCTAATAGAATTATTATTATTATTTAAAAAACAAGTTTTATTGGTTTTTTGTGCTTAAGACACTGTGGTTTTTTGTGCATAAGACACACCGTGGTGCTGGGGTAATCAAACATCCATAAATAAAACCATATATAAATAACTCAAATCAATACATTAAATATTCCCTCTCTATTTCCCTCAATTAACCTAATACATTTAAAATAATCCATTTCTAATTTAAATTTCTAAAAATCCTAAACCTGTTTTAGAGCTTTGTGAATTTACAATTAACATAATCAAATTTGACTTTAAAGAAACAAATTATCAATTCAGGTATCCCTTCCAAATATATTCTAGATCTCAATCTCTTAAATCCTTAATTTTATCACAAATCTCATTTATTTCTTCTTCCACTACACAATATATCTCCTAATTAAAGTAAAATATTAGTCTATCTTATACATATATAATCCATCAATCAATCTGTTTAAGATAACAAAATAACAAAATAATATCAGACCTTAAATCATTTCAGCCCATTGGGCCAAATTCAAATTTCATCCAATTAATTATCATACCTAATAACGTACATATTATCAGACAAGAACATCATCTTACTAATTTAACATACTCAATTAGTTATTAAATCAATCCAGATCTAAAATGCCTCTTCAGTTTTCTTCATTCCATTACATAATAGTTTTCATACAAATAAACCTATTATTCCAAAAAATACATTCTTGATCTATTTAAAATATATATTCTAATAATCACCCATTTTTCTCTTACTTCTGACTCTAAATCTTTCAGCCAATAAATCTCTCTTTATTGCTTGTAGTATCATTTGAGACAGTAAGAAGCATCCCGTCCTCTGCATTGGGCGTCTATTTCTCTTATCCTTAAAGCTTTGTTGCTTTAAAGGCTCAAATCTCAGTCTTTGATTTTTCTGATCCTCAAAGGTATAGATGAAATGCTTGTAGGGTAAAATAAATTCCTCTTTAGTCTCAATTAAATCCTCTTCTAGTATGTTTTGGTTTATAGAATGGTCAGATGTTGTCTGAAAGTCAGTTTGAAGGTTTGGAATATGTCTTCTGATTCTTAATTTTGTAGAAATCCCTTTCATTGTAGCACATATTTCTTCAGTAGCCTCGTAGATCTTTTCCAATATAAGTTTGTAGTTCAATTGTGAATAAGGTTTCTCCATTTTAATAATAATTGAAGAGAATCCCTTTTTTTTCTTTTAGTGGAGGCTGTATTCAATAAAAGTAAAGCAGTATCCACCCCCACAGTTCCCACAGCTGCATCCGCTTATCTTTTCTCTTCAAAAGTAATTTGAAGGCCAAGTCCATCTCATCTCCAAACAGTAACCAGCAGTTGCAGTATTAACTTTTCGCCAGTAAATGTCCTCAATAGGTTAAAAAATTTTTCCAGACACCATTTCCCCCCCTTTTTCTATCTTTTAGAGAAAAAGGTGGAAAAAGAAACAATCTTCCAGTATAGTATAATAGTAGACCTCTTTAAAAAAAAAGGTTTTTTCTGTACCTCAAAGTAGATAAGAATAAAGTGTAGTCTTGAAAAAAAATTATTTTAACCTTTTTGGTCAGCGCCTTTCTTCCCACACATACCAAAGCTGCTTTTTCAAGATGGGGAAATGATTCCAACAGAGCTTTTACAGGCCAAAAAAAAAAGAACAAAGTAGGGTGAAGAGAGGAGGAGAAGGGGTCTAAAATAAACATATTATTCCAACAGTTACATTCTTACATTTCCCAAATATATTCTATTTCTTATTCTAATAACTCATTTATTAATGCCATGTCTTCCATTATCACAATCCATTTTCTTGTTCTCTTTCCATTGCAAAGTGATTATTACGCCTAAAATAAAAATATTACTCCAAAAAATACATTCTTACTCTGTTTCAGATATATATTCTATAAATCAATCCATATCTCTAAAAAGCCTTTTTGATCCATTAAGTAAAATTTAAATCCCATCAAAGTAATTATCATACCTAAAACAAACATATTATTCCAAAAAGTACCTTCTTACTATATTTCACATATATATTCTATTTCTTATCCTAATAATTCCTTGTTTAAAACCTTTTCCATATTACAATTCCAAACTATAATCTAGTCAATAATTTTCATCTCAGTTAGTTTTAAATCAGTCAAAGTCTCTAAAAGCCTTTTAACCCATTAAGTAAAGTTTTAAATCTCATTTTTGAATCTAACTCTGGCTTTCTTTTTGTGCCAGGCAGGTTTCCATAAAAGAGCCTCTATATCATCAGATCTCAGTGTTTGATTAGAAATGTTTATCAACAATTCAGTCTGGTCATACTTCTCTTTGCCTTCTTCCATTATCATCTGAGTAGTATAATCAATTTTGTTCAGTGTTGTGGTTACTAGTTGGTTATCCAAGTTATCACAGTTTTCAATACTTCGTATTTGCAAATCAGTTCATGTTGCTTTTGGCATTACAGATGTTTTAATTAAAGTCATTCTTTGGTCATCAAAGTTCTCAATGAATTGTACATAGGATTGTGTAATGTCCTCTTCTATGTTGATTTGTTCCTCTTCTGTTGTTTTTTGACTTATGGAATAGTCAATTGGAGTCTGGAAATCAGTTTGAAGTTTTGGGGCAAGGGATTTTATTCTGGAATTCACTTGCTCAGTAGCTTCAATTTTTTTTTTCCAGTATACGTTTATAGTTAAGTTGTGGGTAAGGTTCCTCCATCTCATTAAATTGTGTGTGTTGTTGCATACAGGCCTCTTTAAAGTTGATCTGTTCCTCCTCTGTTATTCCTTGGCCTATAAGTTGATCAGTTAAAATTTGAGGTTCAATTTGTAGTTCTGGAATATCATCTTTGGTATTCATCCTAGAGTTCATTTGTTCTGTAACTTCCAAGATTTTTTCCAATATAAGCTTATAGTTAAGCTGTGGGTAAAGTTCCTCCATTTCAGTGGTGAAATAATCTTTTAGTCTTTTAGTGAAGGCTATGTTTACTAACAGTCAGCCAATATCCACCTCCACAATTCTAGTAGGCAATTTCACCACCCAGCTGTTTCAAATCCTTTATCTTTTCCCTTTTATAATAATTTGAAGGTCAAACCCAGCCTCAAAATCAAAGAGGAAATACAATTGCAGTGTCAACTTTCGCCACAGGATGTCCCCAGTAGACTGTAAAATCTTTTTTCCAGATTCCAATAAAGTTTTATCCAGTTAGGAAAGTAAAAAAACAACAATAATATTCTCCACCTTAATAAGTAGATAAAGTAATAAAATTCTATAGTAGGGATTTTTTCAGGACCCCAGAGTATCCAAGAATAGAAATAGCCAGTAAAAATTAATTATTTTTTCTTTTGCTTCCAGAGCTCGTTTTCCCAAGTAAACAAACGCCGCTCTCTCAAAGCAGGCAAATAATTCCAGAAGCTTTTCACAGGGAGATAGTTAGGGTAAAGAGGGAAGGAGGGGTCTCACCCAGATCTTCCACGGTGGTTCTTTATGCTTAGATGTTCTTTTGACTTTTGGCTGGTGCGGCTAAGTGATCGGCCATGTGAATGGCCGATCTTTTCTCCGTCGGCCCTAAGGAGCTGCCTCGGACTGCAGAAGGAGCTGCTGCCCTTCCGCGGTCGATGAGAGTCCTCCTCGACGGTAGTCGCCCCTTCAGGGTGACTTTTGACCCTGTTAAGGGTCTACCGGCGGAGGGAAACCGGCTGGCGAAGAGACGACTCTCTCCGTACGACCACCAGCACTGCGATCTGGAACTGGAAGTCCACAAATAGTTCTTTCCACAGATCTTTTTATCTGGTTATATCTCTTTTGGCAGCCAAAGCACCTCATTTTTCCCGCCTGGGTGATGTGGAGGTAAATGCTGGACAGAATGCTACTTTTCAATGTGTAGCTGCTGGCAAGGCTTTGGAAACAGAGAGGTTCCTCATGCAGGTAAGTGGGAATAAGTTTACCCCAATTTACTCTCATTGGATCATTTATCTGTTCCTCTTTCCTCTTGTTTCCTTCCATGAGAGATGAGTTCAACCTGTCCTTTGTGTTCTTCCATTGCCTGAAATAATAACCTCTGTATAGGATGCATTTGACATACTTGGAGGTAGGTTGAAATAAGCTTTCCATTCTGAATGCTAATCGGCAACTTATCAAAATCTGGATTTCCCCCTTTCCAGAATTGGTTGTTGCTGGGAGATTCTTCCACCCATATCTCAACCTCTCTTTTGTACTCTTAGACAAGTATTCCTTTCAGGAGAAGAAGACGATTGTTTAGGTTTTTGTTTAATTTGCCTCAAAGAAGTAGACTTTTCTATTTCTTTTTTTTAATAGAAAGGACAGCAAATTCTAAAAAGGTAGACCACATCCCACCAGCCCTTCCCATAAAACATGATGCTTACTGAAACATAAGCTGCAAACGTCAATCTCTTTGGAGCAGGGTTGAGACACTGATGGTGATGATACTCTTTTTTTCTGAATGGTAGAAGCAGAATGGGATTGTCATTCCCACCGCCTCAGTGAAGCACATCAGTCACAGAAGATTTTTGGCTACATTTCAACTGGATCAAGTGTCAAAAGGAGACCAGGACTTGTACCGCTGTGTGACTCAGTCTAGCAGGGGCTCTGGTGTCTCCAACTTTGCCGAGCTGATAGTCAAAGGTATGCATCGGTGGTGGTGGTGGGGGTTGGGATTGGTTTATTTTGCCCTGGCAAAGACAGGCCTAAAGATTTGAAGCCTGAGGAAGGATTTGAATCCTATTGGGCAGTACAAGTAGCCCTTGACTTATGACCACAATTGAGCCCAAAATTTCTGTTGCTAAGTGAGATGTTTGTCAAGTGAGTTTTGCCCCATTTTGTGACTTTTCTTGCCACAGTTCGTAAGTAAATCACTGCAGTTCTTAATTTAATAATATAGTTGCTAAGTGAATCTGGCTTCCCCATTGACTTTGCTTGTCAGAAGGTCGTTAAAAGTGATCACATGACCCTGGGACATTGCAACTGTCATAAATATGAGTCACTCTGAATTTCAATCAGGTGACCATGGGGATGCTGCAACTGTTGTGTGAAAAACAGTCATAAGTCCATTTTTCCAGCGCTGTTGTAACTTTGAACGATCACTAAATGACAGAGACACACATAGAGAGACAGACAGAGAGAGAGAGAGAGAGAAACACACAGAGAGAGACAGAGACACAGAGAAAGACAGACACACACACATACACAGAGAGAGAGAGACAGAAAGAGACAGAGAGAGAGAAAGTCAAGGATAATGCTTTCCTTGCATATCTTTTGTTCATCGCTTTGGGCGGATGTTTTCTATGTTACTTATTTATAAAGAGGTTTTAGCAGCACAGAAGCATGCCATCTGCCTGTGATAGTGAACTCTTTGGGGAGAGGGAAGATGGAGAAGGCCTCTGTTTTGCATCTGTTTCACTTGGAATGAGCTAATATGGGAAAGCCCAGTTTTTGAGGATACCCATCATGTAACTATACATCCTGTATTGATGTGATGGAGCAAGACTTGCCATGTACACATGACTGGGCAATCCTATTTGTGTTGCAGGCCATGTTCTCATTATATGAACCCATTGGAAGCCATATGGAGGGTGCAATTGAAGTTTTAAAAAAGGGAGTGCCCAATTTAAATTTAAAAAAGAGAGAAAATATGTGGTTCTCTCTCTCTCTCTAAATATATGATTTGTTTTTCTCTGTTCCTGACACTCTCCTCTCTCCTAAACAGCACCCTACAACAAAGGGCAGATGATTTTCATAAAAAGACTAAACTGAACTTGCATAAGTGTTTTGAAATTAGAGCAACATTAAATTAGCCCAAGGGCTACAGAGTGCCTACCTGAAGTATACAAATTGGCTGATATCAGCTTGATTCAATTAAGTGTTTGCGTCCTTCGGAAATTGCAAACTGCCGTTAGACATTAAGTATTTTGAAGGTGGTTTTTAGTACAAAACAGCAATCATGAAATGAAAGCTGTAAGAGTAAACATAATTTTCTGGTAACGTTAAACTTACAAGTAAAAAAAAAAGGATGAATGACTGAAGAGATATGGGAAATCTGAGGATGAGTACATACAAAACACTTAACTAGGCTGGTGAAGTTCCTGGGGCTGCATTTGAGCAACACAACACACAGAGGTTGATGAAGTCAGAAAATTGATTTATTCAGGAACGTGATTCATCAAGTGGTTTGAATGCAGCCCTACTCTTTCTTGTTCTTCCACTACCCCAATGCAGTTGTCCGTTATCTATAAACCTATAAACTCTAAAAACCTGACCATGTTCCAAAGCCTTGGGCTCTGAATGTGTCAAGGGCCACTTTTCCTTGGCTATACAGGTAGTCCTCAAGTTACAACCACAATTGAACCCAAAATTTATGTTGCTAAGTGAAACATTTGTTAAATGAGTTTTGCCCCATTTTACAACCTTTCTTTCCATGGTTGTTAAGTGAATCACTGCAGTTGTTAAGTTAATAACATGGTTGTTAAATGAATCTGCCCTCCCCATTGCTTGTCAGAAGGTCACAAAAGGGGATTGCATGACTGCAACCATTATAAATATGAACCAGCACCTGAATTTTGATCATGTGACCATGGAGGATGCTGCAATGGTTATAAGTGTGAAAAACGGCCATAAGCCATTTTTTTAGTGCTGTTGTAACTTCAAATGGTCACTAAATGAATTGTTGTAAGTTGAGGATTACCTGTATTGCTAACCATTCAAGGCTCGTGCTCCTGTGTATATTTAATTTGGATTTAATGTATTGGTTTTACTATTTTTATTGTTTTAAAGTGTTTTTAGTATTTTTCATTGTAATATTTTTTTAAAAATTCTAAGCTGGCCAGAATCATTGACTGAGATGGGTAGCCATAGAAATTGAATGAATGAATGAATGAATGAATGAATGAATGAATGAATGAATGAATGAACGAATGAGCCCATCCACTCCAGGACAGCTGACTAAAGATGTCCAGAAGAACAGGTCAACTTATTACTTCTTTGTCCTCTTAACAGAGCCCCCAACACCCATTGCACCCCCACAGCTTTTGAGAGCAGGTTCAACATACTTAATCATCCAGCTCAATACCAACTCAATCATTGGAGATGGTCCTATTGTAAGAAAAGAGATTGAGTACCGGATGACATCAGGACCTTGGTCGGAAGTACATGCGGTGAACATGCAAACCTATAAGTTGTGGCATCTCGATCCCGACACAGAGTATGAAATCAGCGTCCTGTTGACCCGGCCAGGAGATGGTGGGACTGGGAAACCCGGACCTCCACTCATCAGTAGGACAAAGTGTGCAGGTAGGAGTTTGTATTACTTTGTGTATCAAGAAAACCATTTAGAAGAAAACAGTGATGCTTTGACCACAGGACAGTATTTACCCGCTTGCAGGGATTATAACATGAAGGCTGAGATAATATCCAGTCTTATTTATTTATTTGTGCCAGTGTATATCCGATACTGCTTACTATGCTTTTAATTTTATCATAAAATCAAGGAATCACAGGTTGCAAATTAATAACAAAAGAAGGAATAAAATTGCCATGGATATCTCTGAGAACTGGTTTTAAAATCTGCCAAAACAAACTCCACTAAAGCATGAACAGTGGCATTCTGTGGAATATGTTAGTGTCCATCTTTTACTGGACAATGATCTGCATTTTTTTTAAGGTAAAAGATGCCTGTGGAAAAAAAGAGTACATATTTCTAGAAGCCCTGCACATAAAAGAGCAGTACCTAAATGTATATAAATGAACTGCACATTGGGGAAACTTAACAATAATCAGCAACATGATATTAGAGATAATTTGTATGACGAAATGTGGTTTGTTCACATATATGTAACAGTTACATATATTAAAAGAAACAGGAAAAATCTCTAAATAGCAGGGGAAAATTGTGAATTGAGTTTTTAATGGAACTTAAAAAAAACACAAAAATGTTGACAAAGTAAAACAAATGCTCTACCAGTGTGAACTCACTCAAATCACACACAACCCTGCAAAAGGCATTTATCACTGCAAAAATATTCTGGACACAGACCATAGGGAGAGGTGGAGAATCTTAGTTAATGCTGTGTTTACTCAACATTTGATCATCAACAGTTGAGTTTTACAAGAGCTGTGATTCAAAGTAGATTTGAGGACACGGTGGGGAAGTTATCAAGACACCAGTATAAGTATAGATAGCCCAGTCATAAGTGAATCATTGCAGTTGTTAAGTTAATAACATGGTTGTTAAGTGAATCTGGCTTCCCCATTGACTTTTCTTGTCAGAAGGTTGTGAAAGATGGGAAACTGCAACCGTCATAAATCCATGCCAGTTGCCAAGCCTCCAAATTTTAATCACATGATCACAGGGATACTGCAATGGTGGTAAGTGTGAAAAATGGTCATAAGTCCCTTTTTCCAATGCCATTGTAACTTTGGATGGTCACTAAATGAATGGTTGTAAGTCAAAGAATACCTGCACCTTTTAGTCTGCCTAGTTAGGATGTGATGACAAGTACTTGACTGTCTTCAAGCTAGAAGTGTTTACAGTACTTGCAATTAGATGAGCAATAACAACCAACTTGAGAGTGCAAATCCATTTTGATGAAATGCTTCTTTCCGAGGAAAGCCAGCTCTCATGATCCAGATTTACGGTTTTGCTCACCCACAGGGACTGTGTTAGGATGACAAATGATCATTGCATCAGCAACTGAGTAAAGGATTAGTCAGAGTTGTTGGCAGCAGGTGGATTGATAAAGGCCAGGGGCAATGTGGCTTAGCAGTTGAGGATGTCCATGGTCTGTAATTCATGACTGGGACTGAGTACTCATCTTTAAAAGTGGAAGATGTTTAAGGCTGGTGCTGCCTCTGGTTCAAAGGGCAGAAAAGAGGGGAGCTTTAGAAAAATATGCTGAATATTATTCCAGCATTCCTTCCATAGGTTTGGTACATGATCTTACGTGTTTAAAATTCAAAAGTAAAGGATGTGCAATGAATCTCTGTCTCCCAGCTTATTCCAAACCAACCTTTCTCTTAAAATGCTAACCTATCCATCTTCATCCTTCTGGCTGAAAACATGTTGTTGACAAGTGGGAAATGCATCTCATTTTTTCCATTATAAAAGAAAGAAAGAAACCATCAGGGCTTTTTGCCTGAATCTCAAAACACTGTATTTGTGACTTGCTGCTATCCATATTCTGCCCTGCTCTAGAAACTGAAGGTTCAGTGATTAATAGTAGAATTCTTTGAGTTAATTATGATAAACAGGCGCTCTCTCGGTCTTCAGCAGCTCCCTCCCCTGGTACAATTGCTTTTAAACAAAAATGCCCTATCAGTAGGCCATATCAGTAGGAGTTCAGAAATCGTTGGCTGCATGTAATGGCTGCAGAACATTAGCTGCCCTGAATTGTGCTAGAGAAGAGCAAGGCTATGCTGCTAACTGATTCTGTGCCTCTGCACATATTTGTCTGCTGTGTTATTCCATACACACTTGCGCGAGTAGGGTGGCTGACATGGCTAATACAAACTTGGAATCTCTGGAGAAAATCCAGGGCATTGTCTTACAGGTATCTGAGCTGGGATTTTGAGCCCTGAGCTTGATAGTGACACTGGCTTTGTTAGCAAGTCAACTTGGCTTCCTTGTTAATGCTGATAGAGATCCTCACTTGATCCCACAGCACCACTATTTATGAGACAGGACCAACAGTTCTCAGCAAATACCTTAAGGGAAGCTTGTACAACAACTATCCTTAAGGGGAATACTGCTGAATTTGTGTCAGCCTTCGCAGGGAAACCAGACAGGAAACACGATCAGATAAGCTAATTCCACTTTATTGTAAAGCCTTATTTGCAGAATCTTGCAAATCTGAAAGTAAATTTCTCCTGCCATGACCTTTACAGCCAAAGAACTTAGAGAGAGACCCTTTTTGCTTCAGCCATTATGCATTTGCAGGCTGTGGTGTCTCTTATCTGACCATTCCCTAGGCTGCATCTCTTTGCCCTGTCTCCCAAGGTCTTTCTCACATACCTTGCTTACATCTTGATACATTTATCAGTTTTGTATGTGAAAGGGAGAAGTGGGGTTTACAGTCATGGTCCATGAACGTTGTTCCTCTGTTGCAAAAGAAGTGATCCAAGGATCAGAAGAAGAGGTTTTTCAAAGCCCTTCAAAAAGCTGTCAAAGTCAGCATCAACTAAAAGTTCTTTAAAAAGCCCTTTGCTAAAATACATGCTTTGTATGCCAAAAGTCTTGGGTGCCACTCTTGACATTCCCAGTTCAAAAATCGTCTAGCAGGTGACAGGAAAGGACATTTTTGATGAAAAAACTAGGGAGAGCAAGGATCAAGAATTCAGCTTGATGTAAAGCAGTCCCTATAATATAGCCAAGGCTAGACTGGAGGAGAAAAAACATCTCTTCCGCACCTGTAGGCATAATGTGTACCCCGTAGGGTTTATCAAACGCCATGGCACCCTAACTAGGCCCCCTAATAACTTGCAAACAGGGGTGCTACCATCCCAGGCCACCCGTATTACTCTCCCCTATATTAGTAACGTTTCGGAGGCTACAGCTAGGCTGTTGGCACCCTACAATGTAAGGGTGGCACACAGACCTGACCGAACGTTACGCTCCTGTGTTATGAGACCCAAAGACCCGCTGCCCACCACTGAGACGTCTGGGGTGGTGTATAAGATCAATTGTAGTAATTGCCCCATTAATTATGTGGGGGAAACTTCGAAAAGAATTAAAACAAGGGTCCAGGAGCATAAACTTGCGAAGTCACATTCGTCATCTTCAGGCTGGTGTGTTCAGCTTCGTGCTTCTAAGAGTGGTGTGTGATCGCAGCTGTTTCTTCCTTTTAACTGCCAGTGGGGTTGGAGCTGATTGGGTGGGAGCTTGGCTGTGTTCTGATTGGGTGGAGGTGTGTTCTGATTGGTTAAGGAGCCTGGCTGTGCTCTGATTGGATGGGGGGTTCGCTGTGCTCTGATT